TCAAGAGATCTCCATCATTCAAATAGTCCTCAGCTATGTTGGTCTTGTCCGAAGTATTTGATTGCTACCCATAATTTGTAGTTGAATTACATTTTCTCTAAAACTACTCGCAATCTTTCTTGATGTACCTTTTATTCTTGCCAGAAAAAAACTATATTAATGTAATTCGACCTTGACTTACCCATTAGCCGATCACCATAAACCACAAGAGCTTCTTCACCTCTAGACTCAGCTCCAACCAGATGCTTTATACTTTCCTTAGAGAACAAGGCATCATACACATCTTCAATGGTGAGCGTGTCACGGCTTTACAAAATCGTGTCCCTGAATGATGAGAATGAAATAGGTAGCGAGCATAACAAGATCAAGGCCCAGTTCGCTTAATCATATTTTACTTTTAACATTTTCAAATCAGCAACGATCTCCTTGAACACGGCCATATGATCTTCCAAAGATCCTCCTTTTGCCATGTAATAAGAATATAGTCTCTGCTTCAGATGTAGTCAGCCTTCTGGTCATATGCAGTTACTTCAACTTCGCCACAATGCAACAGTTGTCTTCTCCTCCAAAACTTCCCAAGGAATGTTGTTAGATAGATGGGGATGAATCTGCGAGGGCGCCTTTTGACCTTTCCATTTCTTCTTCTCTATTATCCAAGTTGTGGGCATCTTGTCAAATCCGATGCATCATCCAAATTCATCTATGCCAATATAGCTTGCATCTTCACTTGCCAAAACAAAAATCTTGTACTATGATCCAAAATTAGAATTTCATACTTCATGGTTACCATCGATAACAAAAAACCTCAAACAAAATCCAAACCTTGCTCTGATACAATTTTCTATAATTCGGACCAAATCTGAAACTACTTTATTGAAAGCAAAATAGCTTTGATACAACTTGTTGGGAAACGGGGAGATTAGTATGGTACAAGATGAAGTATTGATCACACATGTGAAAACAAGATTAAAGTAAGAAGAAAGATTGGCATAGGAACCAAGTAATTTTATTAATTGACAACTAATTGAGAGAAAAAATACAATTTCAGCAATTCTTAACTAAATTGTAGAGTAGAACCAAATATATATATGGAACAATTCAAGCCCTAGAAATAGTGTTATAGATTCGCCTAAAAGTTTTCTTATCTTGATATTTTTAAGTCCAACAAAAATTTCAACCCCCAATAAGGCTTCCAAATATAACTTCATCTAGAATTTGCCAATAGACTTCGAATAGGATTCCAAAAGCATTCCAAATAGAATTATTCTTAATGTGCTCTTTAATTAGAATTTTCAATTATCTTCATCAAAGAATTTGGGTCATGCCCATAACTCTAACAGTAGAATTATAGGATATCAAGAGAAGGAAAATTCTAAAACATATCATGCACTTAAACACATTAATAAAGTTTAAAACATATTACAGACGTTCAAAATGCATCCTCAATGTATAGAACTCGTATGCCGAATTAGTATGTCAGAAGGACATTTTGATGTAACTAATATTACTCTTCTCAATGTGTAATATGTTTTCGAAACTTGTTACAGAGTAGTATATTTACCAAACCCTGCATAACTCACCACGATAACTAAAGATTGGCCTATTGTAACTCAATTAATGAATAGTAGAATCCATGATCTCCAATAGCAAGTAGTTCTTGGTGTGATCCTTTCTTCACAATCTTTCCATTCTTAATCACTATGATTCAATCTTCCTTCAGTATTGTAAATAAATGAAGAGCTACAGTTATGCAAGTCCTACCAGATATCATTATATCCTCTACTTCTTAAACAATGTTCTCAAATAGACTATCTAGTACACTGGTTGCCTCTTCCAAGAGGAGGATTGATGGATTCTTAAGAATTGCCTGAGCAAGCGCTAACCTCTACTTTTTTCCTACTGAAAGCTAGACTCCTTGCCAACTGTAGGAAGTTTGATACATCCTTCATTGAGCTAGATTAAAGTAAAAGAGACAGAGACAGATAATGTACATTGTAAGAGAGTAGGATATTTCACTCTAGATGCATGTTCCGCAGAAATGATTGGACAGTATATGATAGCATTGAGGAAAAATAAATCAATAACTTTTTGGATATGCTCGAACTGCTCCTTATGTCTTTGGCTCTATGGAAAGCTATCATCTTAATAGTGTCTTCTGGTATAGTTTCATGAACTTCACTTTTCTCAGGCTAGAAATGTTTAGAAGTGGTAGCTATTCTTATGACATGGCTTATTGGAAGTAACTTATCTTCTTCATCTTCCCATTCAAGACAAGCGGAGAAAAACCTAATATAAATATTCTTATGTTTAAGAACTTGACAATATCTTTCAATATCTCGAACAACATCCTTTGGCAGTATAGAAATTTCTTTTAATGATTCAAACGAGTAAATACAAATTATATTTCCCATTTCATAAAGAGTGCGAACCCAATAAGCTGGGGCTCCTGGATAGAGATTAATTTTGTTATAAGTTCGATACGTTAGAGTTTTCATCCATCCTCCTATATTGGTGAACCAACAGCAGGCAAGATTGAACAATACGTATATCAAAATAAAATCATCTTTATTTTTTATATCCATAACACCAGTGGTGTTGTAGGCTTTGATAATATTTGAGCGATTTAGCTCTGGTATAGAGATACTATCCTTTATATAAATTTTCTCCGGTGAGTTAAACAAAGTAGCATTCTCCTTGACAGATAGATTATGAAGCTTTAATGTTTCTTGTTCAATATTGGCATAAAAACCTTCAGACTTATTGGCAATGGGGCCTTCAAATAATATAGCCCTGTTGGCTTTCTCAGATACCAGCTTGGCAGCAACTATTTCCATAATTGTTATCCTGGATTCTATCGCAGCTATCTTCACATTCATCTCAAACTTCAATGTTTCGAGTTCCTTCTTGATTTCTCCATTCCAGGTTAAGAAATCTGGAAAAAAATTGTCTTTTCCTTTAATATGGACAATATCAAATTTAAATGGCGCAAACCACATTTGCATTCTAATAAGTGGCCTTTCAGCTGCACTTGTTCCAATTTTATTTGTCAATAATAGTTTTACCTGAGTATTATCAGTTCTAATAAGAAACTTCTTTGGTAACAAATAAGGTTCAAATTTTGCTACTCCTTTCTTAACAGCCAAACATTCTTTACGATTAATATCATATCTAGTTTCTGCATCCTTAAAAGTACCTAAAGTGTATGCAACAAGTTCTTCTGGGCATTTACACATGGATTACAAAGAATTTCTTTATAATTTTCTTTTCTTTTGAAGATCGCTCCCCAGTGTAATAGAGATGCATCAGTTTCTAAGATATAGAAATCATCATCATTTGGAATATTTAATTCAGGTAAATTTTCACATATTTTCTTTATTTTGTTTATCATTTCAATATCTTCTTGTGTCCATTCCCATACAACTCCTTTTCTAAGGTTTTTGGTAAAGTGGACTTTGTATTTTCAACAATTTTTTTTATAAATTTTTCAGAATAATTTAATAATCCAATAAAGCTTTGCAGCTCTTTCTTATCTCTAATTATTTCTGGAAATTCGATAATCATTTTTCCAATATGAGGTTGTTGGAGTATTTTCTCTACTGCAAAAATATATCGTAAGAATTCAATTTCAGTTTTAGCTATTTCTGCGTTTCTTTTTGATAGGGCTAGACCATATTTTTGAGCAATATAATAAAAATTTTTAAGGTGTTCAATATGTTCTTTTAAATTTTTACTATGAATAAGGATATCATCTACATAAGCAACACAAAAAAATTGTATTGGTCTAATAATCTTATCCATTCTTTGTTGAAATATTGCTGGGGCATTCATTAATCCAAATGGCATAACATTCCACTCAAATTGTCCTAATGGATTAGGGGTAGTAAAACTAGTTAAAATTTTTGATGCTTCGTCTGGTTTTATTTGCCAATATCCAGATTTACAATCAAATTTAGAATATAATTTACTTCCTTGTATTTGTTTTATTAACAAATCTTTTATTGGTAATTTATAGCTATTAGGTATAGTTTTAGAATTTAGATCTCTATAATCAATTATCATTCTAGCTTTTCCTCTTTTAATTTCACTATGATTTCTGACCATAAATGCAGGACTATTATATGGACTAGATGATTCTCTTATAACTCCTAATCCTGAAAGTTCTTTAATTTGTATTTCAAATTCCTTTTTATCTTCTCCGCTATAAGGGAATTGTTTTTCTGATACTTAACATCTGGACTTTTTAATTCAATGGTTGCCATAGGTTTATCTTTGTCCCATTTCGCTAAGGGATGTTCATGATAACATTCTTTTAGTTCAATTTTAATATTTTCTAATTCTTCTTCTAACTTGTTAATTCTTAATATAGGAATTCTATGTTTTTGATTGATTTCTCTATAACATCGACCACGATTACCTACAAAAATCTGATGTCTAGGTTTATGCTTAATCAGATGATGTGCAATTCCAATTGCTTTATAAATTTTGGATGTTTTAATTTTGTGATTACAATGTGTAGTAAATTCAAAACTATCTTTATTTTGCGTAAAAGGGTTAGATGTATAGATAAAATTTTCTCCTAAGAGGATATTACATCCAATTTTATTTGTAGCGAATATTTGTGGAATAAAACAATCTCTATTTCCAATAATAATAGGAACATTTTCCACAAAATCTTTATATATTTCAACAATATCACTAGTTGTTTGACCGTAAGTTGTTTTCTTATAGTCTCTTTTATAATAGTGTTCTGGGAACACATTTCTTTTACATAGGCAAATTCCTGATTCAGTATCAAGTATTGCATGAAATCTTATCATACACTAGTCGGTAAATTGAGAGTTATCTCAATATATGGGCTCAAAATACTAGTTTTGATTGATCTAATTCCTTGTATCATATAAATTAATTCTTTGTTTTTATTAACTCTAGGCAACATTTTTTGTTTACTTTCAACAGTCATTTGCAGTATGTTTTTCTGAATAACAAATGGTGATATCTTTTCAAGAAAGGTCATTCCAATTAATATGGGCTAGCATCCTTTCCTTTTCTATAATTTTAAGGTTTAACTTAAATTGTTCTCCTTCTATGTTAGTAAAACATAGTTCAAGATTAACAAATGTTTTAATTTCATATTTAATTCCATGATAATTTGTAAGAGTTATTCCTTGTGGAAGATTTTCTTCTACTAAATGATCGACTAAGTCTGCTCTTATATGACTAGTACAAGCTCCAGTATTAACAAGGGCTATGATTTTTTCATAGTTATTTTGATTATTGAAATATTCTGTTAATATAAAGAAATTATCTTCCTCACTTTTTCTTAAATCAATATCAATACTATTTCTAGGTATAGTTGTGTAATTTCTAGTTGTAGATGGTCTACTAGAGCTTGAGATTTCTCTAATACTGATACTTCTTTCTATTCTTCTACTAGGCATTCTAACAACAAATTGTCCAAAAGTATTCAAACTTGTTAATCCTTGATTACCTACATTACTGTCTATTCTTCTAGATCGTTGATGAAAATCAAGTAATATCTCTTGTGGTAACGAAATGTTATAATCACTTAGCATTCTTGGTGATGTAAATTGTGCTAGGTTTTTAAAGTCTTCATGAATTTCTATGAATTCTCCTGAAATTTTATTGATTTCTTTTTGGTGTGTAGTAGTAAAAGCATATAAAGCTTTACAATGTAAAGTTACAGTTTTACTTCTTGGTGGCATACTTAATCTATCAATTTTGTGATATAAATTTGATCCTAAACTTAAGTTTTCATCTAATATAGACATGGCAAATCCAAGTCTTATAGTAAATATAATTTTCTTATATACAAGATTTCCAGAGACAACTCTTAATAGAGCGTCCATAGGATCATGAAGTATCCTGTTATCCATTAAATATATTTGTATAGGAATATCCATTCCCTCTCTAAAGTATCCTTTAATCATGATTTGGATTCCTCCAATCACTATATTCTTTAATCTTTCTCTAGTGGATCTTTTAATATTTGCTAATTCTCTATTAACCCATTCTCTTGTAATTAAAGGTATAGTAGTATTGCCCTTAACATTTTCCATGTTAATAGGTACTTCGTCATATTTGGCAATGTATATAGTTTTGTTAAACCAAGGTAGTATTGGTCTAATAAAAACATCTTTATCTCTTAAAGATATCTATTTTTCGTTTATAGCTCCATATCTTTCTTCATCAAACATAACAGTTTGTAAAGTTCCTTCTTCACTATCTAAGGTAGTTTCAACGGTATCAATAATTTCTTGATTCATATATATCTGTTCATAATCAAATTCCTCAATTTCTTTAATAACAAGCTCATAAATTGAGTTTGTTTCAGATAATTCATCTAAATCTTCAATTATCTCATATTCTGAATCATATTCAATTTCTTCCATTAATTTAATAGATTTAACATTTTCTCTTTTATTTTTATTAGGACAGTTGGGAGATATATGTCCTAATTCATTACAGGTAAAATATTTACATTTTTTATAAAAAAAATTCTTAGATTTCTTCTAAGACTTCTAATATTGGTTATATTCCTTATTCCAAGGTTTTTTCTTCTTAAAATATTTTTGTGGTTCTTAAATCCTTTATTTTTCTTCCGAGGTTTTAGATATTTCTTAAATTTCTTTTTACAATATGGTTTTTTAGATGGTCAGTGACAACCAAATTGTGGTACTGATGTTATTTCTCCATAACAATATAAACTAGCCTTTTTACCATGTTTTCTAAATGGGTGTTGGTACATAGATTTTTTGCACCATTCGGCGATTTTTCTTTTAGCGAATGAAGTTCTCATTCCTAAAGTATCAGTTTTGTGGTTAGGGTCTTCCCATTAAATTTTACTCCAATAGATTTGATAATCTTCAAATAACTTGTGACCCCATGGCCAAGGTAATTTAAGAAAATATCTATTTAATAATTTTTTTATCTTCTTTTGATAGATTCCATTCTTTTATAGATTTAGATGCTTTGATATATATCTTTTCAAATTTCTTAGTAAATTCATTTAATTCACACATATCACAAATTTTTAATAGTTCTATTTCTCTTTCAGCTTATAAAGTTTCTTGAGTAATTATATCAATTTTAGTTTCTAGTATAACTTCTCCTAAAATCATTTTATCTTTTCTATTCATTTTAAATAATATATTCTTCAGTTTCGTTACTAGGCTCTAATACCAATTTTTTACTAGGCGGAAAAATTAAAGATAATAACTTGAGAGCTTAATTGAACTCTTTTAAAATTAAGATAGCTTGGTTATAAATTTAATGTTGGGGGTATTTTAGGTAGATTTTAGCCTTTGAATGGTTAGAGGCGATTTTGGAAAATGGCCTTCTTAAATGGATCAATTCCATGTATTTCCTCATTTAAACAAGATGTGAAAACATCATTCAATCATATGAAAGTGGCTACAAAGAAAAGAATATAAAGTGCGAAAATCCGAAACTTTAAAACTCTAAACAAGGAAATATTCTCAAGTACCCTTAATAAAGAAACCTAAATATAGTAATATCTAAAATAAGATGAAGAAGGGTCCAAGTTTATAGAGTAGAAATCCACTGTTAAACACTGGACAACAGTTACAAACTACAAAAGTTGGAAAGAGATTGTGAACTTACTCTGTGACATTTCGGCATATGTAGGCAGAATTCGGACTAGATCTGAAACTACTTTATTGAAAGCAGAACAACTTTGATACCACTTGTTGGGAAATGGGGATGTTAGTATGGCACAATATGAAGTATTGATCGCACAAGCAAAAAGATGATTAAAAGAAGAAGAGAGATTGGTAGAGGAACCACTGAGTAATTTTATTAACTGGCAATGAATGGAGAGAAAAATACTATTAAGCAATTCTTAACTAAATTGTAGAAAAGAGACAAATATATGTAGGAAACAATTTAAGCCTTAGAAGTAGAGTTATAGATGAAATAGAATACAAAAAAGTTTCCTTATCTTGATCTCTTTAAGTTCAAAAAAAATTATAACTCCCAATAAGGTTTCCAAATAGAACTTCAACTAGAATTTGCCAATAGATCTCAAATAAGATTCCAAAAACATTCCAAATAAAATTATTCTTTATGTGCATTTTAATTAGAACTCTCAATTATCTTCATCAAAGAATTTAGGTCACACCCAAATTTCAACAATCTATACCTTGACATGAATTTCGGTGCAACGAAAGAAGCTCAAAACTTTCTCCACCTGGAAAAATGAGTTCGACTATAGTGAAATATATAGAATTTTTCAATCAGAACCAAACTTCACCAACTCATGAAAAATTACTCTTGCTCTTTCTTTTCCACAGTATCCACAAATGATACCTGAACCCAAACACAAGTTCCCAAAATTCTCATAAGAAATTCAAGATTTACCAAACAGGGTCGAAGCATATCCTATAGCAAAATCAAATCTCAATGCTTTCATCGAAAGACCCTTGCTAGTCTTGACATATTTAAAAGCCTCAAAAGCATGTGCAACCAAATTAGCATCCCTGTACCTATCCTGAATAGGTCCTTCCCTAGCAGTTGAACACGATGGCACTGCAGACAGTGTTGGCAAAGTGGAATTACCCATATCCTTCAAACTCATTCGACTAGTGTTCTTCAATAATGGCCAAGAGCCAAATCCTAAAGTGTTGTAATAAACTGTATATCAACCACGGTACTAAACATGTGTTGATGATTCTTCATCGATTTTGTGTGACCTTACAAAATGTATAATTGGGACTTCTTCTGTCCTTTCAGTACCATATGGACACCCTTTTGGACCTTCAAGACTCCACCTCCTCCAGAGAACTTATTGCCATTTAAATCGAGGATACTTAGCAAGATGTGATTATTCTTCAAATCTAGAACATGTCAAACCTGACCAAGTGTGCTAATTATTCCATTCAATAACTTCAATCTAACCCCATCAATACCAGCTATCCAAGAAAATCTGTTGTTACTCATGACAACGACACATTACGTCATCATTTCATATATTTCAAACAAATCCCGATTAGGACATAAATGGATCACACAAGCTATATTAAAAATCCACTTCTCGTTAGGTTTGGATTTCACATCAAAAATCATCAAGAGATCTCCATCATTCAAATAGTCCTCAGCTATGTTGGTCTTGTCCGAAGTATTTGATTGCTACCCATAATTTGTAGTTGAATTACATTTTCTCTAAAACTACTCGCAATCTTTCTTGATGTACCTTTTATTCTTGCCAGAAAAAAACTATATTAATGTAATTCGACCTTGACTTACCCATTAGCCGATCACCATAAACCACAAGAGCTTCTTCACCTCTAGACTCAGCTCCAACCAGATGCTTTATACTTTCCTTAGAGAACAAGGCATCATACACGTCTTCAATGGTGAGCGTGTCACGGCTTTACAAAATCGTGTCCCTGAATGATGAGAATGAAATAGGTAGTGAGCATAACAAGATCAAGGCCCAGTTCGCTTAATCATATTTTACTTTTAACATTTTCAAATCAGCAACGATCTCCTTGAACACGGCCATATGATCTTCCAAAGATCCTCCTTTTGCCATGTAATAAGAATATAGTCTCTGCTTCAGATGTAGTCAGCCTTCTGGTCATATGCAGTTACTTCAACTTCGCCACAATGCAACAGTTGTCTTCTCCTCCAAAACTTCCCAAGGAATGTTGTTAGATAGATGGGGATGAATCTGCGAGGGCGCCTTTTGACCTTTCCGTTTCTTCTTCTCTATTATCCAAGTTGTGGGCATCTTGTCAAATCCGATGCATCATCCAAATTCATCTATGCCAATATAGCTTGCATCTTCACTTGCCAAAACAAAAATCTTGTACTATGATCCAAAATTAGAATTTCATACTTCATGGTTACCATCGATAACAAAAAACCTCAAACAAAATCCAAACCTTGCTCTGATACAATTTTCTATAATTCGGACCAAATCTGAAACTACTTTATTGAAAGCAAAATAGCTTTGATACAACTTGTTGGGAAACGGGGAGATTAGTATGGTACAAGATGAAGTATTGATCACACATGTGAAAACAAGATTAAAGTAAGAAGAAAGATTGGCATAGGAACCAAGTAATTTTATTAATTGACAACTAATTGAGAGAAAAAATACAATTTCAGCAATTCTTAACTAAATTGTAGAGTAGAACCAAATATATATATGGAACAATTCAAGCCCTAGAAATAGTGTTATAGATTCGCCTAAAAGTTTTCTTATCTTGATATTTTTAAGTCCAACAAAAATTTCAACCCCCAATAAGGCTTCCAAATATAACTTCATCTAGAATTTGCCAATAGACTTCGAATAGGATTCCAAAAGCATTCCAAATAGAATTATTCTTAATGTGCTCTTTAATTAGAATTTTCAATTATCTTCATCAAAGAATTTGGGTCATGCCCATAACTCTAACAGTAGAATTATAGGATATCAAGAGAAGGAAAATTCTAAAACATATCATGCACTTAAACACATTAATAAAGTTTAAAACATATTACAGACGTTCAAAATGCATCTTCAATGTATAGAACTCGTATGCCGAATTAGTATGTCAGAAGGACATTTTGATGTAACTAATATTACTCTTCTCAATGTGTAATATGTTTTCGAAACTTGTTACAGAGTAGTATATTTACCAAACCCTGCATAACTCACCACGATAACTAAAGATTGGCCTATTGTAACTCAATTAATGAATAGTAGAATCCATGATCTCCAATAGCAAGTAGTTCTTGGTGTGATCCTTTCTTCACAATCTTTCCATTCTTAATCACTATGATTCAATCTTCCTTCAGTATTGTAAATAAATGAAGAGCTACAGTTATGCAAGTCCTACCAGATATCATTATATCCTCTACTTCTTAAACAATGTTCTCAAATAGACTATCTAGTACACTGGTTGCCTCTTCCAAGAGGAGGATTGATGGATTCTTAAGAATTGCCTGAGCAAGCGCTAACCTCTACTTTTTTCCTACTGAAAGCTAGACTCCTTGCCAACTGTAGGAAGTTTGATACATCCTTCATTGAGCTAGATTAAAGTAAAAGAGACAG